TTTCTTTCGAACAGTAACTACAGTATCCAAAGCAAACTTAGGATCGTGCGGTTTAACCTACGTGTGAACGGTTGGGAACGTTATCACCTAAGTTAACAGCCCGCTTAACCGACCGATCGAGCTAGTTCTCTATGATCTAGCTCCATCCGCTCATCAAACCGACCGGTCAAGCTAGTTCTTGACATCAAACAGATTAAACACAAGGAGGTTATCGGCTAGGTTGAATCCATAGCTTTTTAGGAGCCGATCATTCAACAAAGATCAAATAAATGGGAAATGACACTTGAAAGTAAACTGAAAACATTAGAAGGGGACCGGATCGATGACAACAAACACAAACACCACAAAGTTAATTATCGTCATCAAAAACTTATTTAATCGACAGCTAACCACAGAAGAAATATCGGGATTAGAACAAGATTTAGATTTCGTTTTTCCCCCAACAAAATTCAACGATTGTACATTTATTGCAAATACTGAAACATACTTTGTCAACTTATTAGGACATGCAACGGATAAACGAGATTATGAAGAGAAAGACGAAAATACTCCAGTTATCTATAATTTATCACCAGCTCAGCTCGAATGTGACAACAAACTACGATCAACATATAACACGTTTCGACGAACAGTAGCACGAGGAATAAAAACTCAATAACTACAAACGAAAAAAGTTCAACAAACATTGAAAGCACTATCGAAGGACGACAAACTAGTAATAACACAACCGGATAACGGACGAAGGATCGTAATCATAAATAAAGAAGGCTACATTAAAAAAATGAACGATATTTTATTAGACACAACGACAGTTTATGAAATTCTCGAAGATCCTACCATTAAGCAAGAAAATAAATTAAATGCAAAATTATTACAATTAATGAAAGATGAATTTATCACAGAAGATTATTATAAATATGCAAGGTCACGGGGATCATAACCAGCCAGACTTTATCGACTCCTCAGAGTCCACAAGTCACCTGATATTAACGGCCTTATCCCACTACGTCCTATCGTTTCTTCATCAAACACTTTCAACTATCGTTTAGCCAAAGTATTCACAAATACACTTGATCATCTTCGTACAAGCTCTGCGATTATTAAGAACACATTCTCGCTTATTGATTGACTTCACAAATTGCAAATTGATCCGACAAAATCCAAAATGTTATCATTCGACATCACTTCATATCTCCCTGTATCACTTCATACTCAAGATATCAAGTAAAAATTAATATCACTTCATATCTCCTTCTTGGATGTTGGAATTCGACGAACATCATCAGCATCAAAACTATTCATTACAAGAATATATCGTAAACCGACATTCACTGGCTTATTATTGAAATGGTCATCGTTTGTGCCAAGAACATACAAAATTAGTGCACTCAGTTCATTGATTTCTAGAGCCATTAGAATTTACTCTACATTCGAACTGATAACAAGCGAATTTGAATTCATCAGACAATTAGCAATTAAAAATGGTTACCCACATAATTTCAATGAAACACAAATTAAGAAAACATTCAATCGATATTTTAAACAAAAAGAATGGAGTAAGTCGAAGCTTTACAAGTGCAGCAATTCTGGGTGCGAAGAAAAAAGAGCAGGTGTACATTGACATTCCTTATTATGATGAAGCAACTGAGAAGCTAGGGAAGAAATTAATAAAAGCTGCTGCAACTGTTCGTCCTCAAGTTCAGATCCAACCAATACCACGCCCACCACCAACAGTTTCAACGTTTTTCTCATAAAAAAAAATTCATAAAATTCCAATCGCTCTTCAGTCCAATGTCGTGTACGAAGTCCCTTGTCAAGACTCTCAGGGGACCTACATCGGGAAAACAACTCGACACACTGAACGACGTTATCTAGAACATGGAAAAGGCTCATCAACAAAAACTAAACATACTGATCCATCACAAAAAACAACTGATTCTCAACGAAGTTTACGACGCTCAAAACGAAAACGAAAACCCACTAGTCGTTATAGTTCATCAATTGACAATCTTCAAGAAGAACACAAAGCTAAAGAAGGAAAACCTAAGATTATCAAATCTGCTCGTCTAAAACATGTAAAAGAATATCAACATCATATTAATTGGAACAACACTAAGATATTAGATAAAGACTCGAAATCATATCGATTATTAATACATGAATCTCTAGCCATCAAACGATTTCAACCACAACTAAATTTTACAGTTAATGATGCCCCCACCCTCAATCCCTAAACCAGAGTACCCCCCACCCCTATAAGGCCTAATTAAAGGATCGCTAGAGATAGAAAGAGCATTAGACCTCTCCACTAATCAATAAATCCTTTTAATCCTCAGTCTGAGTAGTGGGGGATTAAGGGAGTGTCAATACCACGAATATCCTTCTATTGCCTACTATACCCGAGATTAATAGTGCGAATAACCCCCCATGGGCAGGGGACTAGGGAAAAGGTCTCTTTAACTTTCCACCTCTGTATATATCAACCATTTGTTTCGTTTCCTTTCAAATCGTGTACCCTAACGATATGACGTCCTGTTACGACGGGGGGAGGATTGTGTCTGGGTAGATCTCACTTGGTTTTTGGTTTAGGATTAGTAGGCAAAAAGCGGGCCCTTTGGCCTCTTACCTTGTGTAGGTTAGCACGAGGAAACGAGGCGAAAGGGCCCTTTATAGTGTGTTAAGTGCTCAGAGATGACTACACTCACCTTCGTTTGTTATTTTAGCACAACATGCGTCATCGTCAAATGAAAAACAGAAAGTGACTGTTTTTTTGCGCAGAGAGAACAGTAACCAGTTTACTCTCTCTGTCTGTGTAAACGAAATCAATTTTTTCAAAAGGACTAAACAGCTAGTCGACATTGGAGTGGGGTTGTTGTTCGATCAGCATTTAGATTTTAGAAACAATGAATGTTTGGTGCTGCAAGTAATAGTTAGTTGCTGGATATTTTTTGTTGACAGAATGGGTGTAGTCATCTCTGAGCACTTAACAAATTATAAATATAAAACTGATTATGCGTACTACTTTTTTATATTCAATAATAATGCCTAAATAAAATAAACGAAATCAATACTTTTTCAAAGGAGAGAATAGCTGGCCGATATTGGAGTGGCTTGTTGTTGTTCGATTAACATTTAGATTTTAGAAACAATGAATGTTTGATACCGCAAGCAATACTAGTTCTGGGTGAGATTCTTTCATACAGTCTGTCAACAAAAAATATCCAGCAACTAAGTATTACTTGCAGCACCAAACATTCATTGTTTCTAAAATCTAAATGCTGATCGAACAACAACCCCACTCCAATGTCGAC